GCTTCAGAAATCCTCTGTAAGGTCACTGTGAGTCTGAATTAACTCGATGACAATGAGATTTGGGCTTGGTATGACTCCGAATCATCTCAATGGCAATGGGTTTGGTTTGGGGTTTAGAAAACAAAAAGGAGCCTCCTGGGTCTTTATGTTAGGCAGTAGGGTTGCTAATCCCAAGGTCAGAAGTTCAAACCCACCCGTCACTCAGAGGGAGAAAGGCAAGATAATCTGCTCCCCTAATGATTCACAGTCTCAGAAAACCTAGAGAGTTGCCATGGTCTGAATAGACTTATTTTAGTTTCTACCTACATGGGAATCAAGAAGTAACCACCTTGTTATTTTATATCAAACTCAACCGTGACTGAAATAAGCTTGGAAGCCCCCGTATCTTTTCAAGCCAGAGGTCAGAGGTCATTCTTTTTAAATAGGTGGAGATAATTCAGATGCAGCTAGGAAGCTGAGGCTCCTGGTAAATCATACGAAGAGTCATACTGATCGTGCACACGGCTCAAGATACTGTATCGAATTCGTTTTTAAAATGAATCTCATTTCAGAAACTATGCTCCATTTGGGGATGGTGAATTTCAGACTCAGGCAGCACTGTGTAGCACAGATGTGTGTGACATACAATAACCTGGGAGAGCCAGAGTTCAGTGGGGTTGCTTGGCTTTGTCAGGTCTGACAAGTTCTTGGCCTTTGACAAGAACTTGCTCACGTGCCTTGTTCTGCCATTCTCTAGTGGGAAACACTTGCATTTGTCTTCTGTGACAGGTTTCCACCATACGCAGACAAACTCTGGCTTTCTCGGGTTTCTATGTACACACTTTCATCAGGATAGGGGCTTTAGAACATTTCTCAGGGATGCTGACCATTAAGTTCCTGGAATCCTAATCAGATTGGTGGTAGCCACACCTCCCTCAAGTTCAGAGGGGAGGAGAGGCAGGCAGTGTCACAGAGACTCCTATTTGCTGCAGGAAAAGACACTGCTCTCCTTTGCTTGACCTTCTGAAGGACAGAATGGCTGCCATACTGCTTTCTATTCCTAGGCTAAGGTAAGGTTTTTGACAGCTTGAAGGATGAGCATTTTGGAAAGAAGGCTGACAGACCAGACTTAGAATGGTTGCTCCATTGGAGACCGTTGCCCTGTGGGCTAGCACAGGGTGTGGAGGGGTTTCTGGGCAGACCTCTCTCCTACAGTGGAGGGGGAAAGTTGCTCCGAACAAACATTTTGGCTTTGAGTGGTGTCCTGATTGCCTCTGACGCTAAGTACAGCGGAAGAGAGTCCATCAGGTGAAGGAACCGCTTAGCTTGCAGGCTGACAAAGCCTCCTAGGTCATAACATCTGAAATAATTTTCAGCCAGTCGAGCAACAAAGAATGATACATTGCATAGTCTCATGCAGTCATATTAAATACTTAACCTCAGAGAAGAGAATACATTCTTGAGGAATTGTTTAAAGTACTTTCTTCATATTCTCTTGTGGGTGTATGAATTGATGATGAACATTTTTTTTCTTAATTTGGATCAAACTTCAAACCTCTCTCATTCAGAAACTTGAAAAGGTTAAGAGGTCAGTATCTCACGTAGCCTCCTAAGCTGTCTTCATTGGTCTTGGATTCCATACAGAACAAGAAGGAGAGGGTGCAAAGGTAGCCTGAGTGAAGACAACACACTTGGGGAGCTCCTCCCCTGCGAGGTTCAGCAGGGCCTTTGGGTCCTCCCTCCCAGAGGCTGTGAGGAGTGTGTTCCCCTGTGCCACGTGCTCTCCAGCTGCTGATTCCCAGCACAGGCTTGGCTCGCTGGATCTGATCTCCGAAGAGAAAAATGAAACAGTACTTGTCTCTTTAAGATTCGGAGGCGATCAGGCTAGATGGTTTCATTATCGTTGCAGGGTTTTCTAGGATCAGGTATACTTAATACAAGCTCCACATCCTCACGTGTGGGTATTCCCTTGTTCTGGCCTCACAGCTGCCTCTTGATCCGGGTACAAGTTCCACAGGAGCACAGTTAAGTGTTCTGGAATTCCCCTTCTTCTCAAGGTTATCCATACACAGTTTGTTGTGGACCTCACAGTCAAGTGCCTTTGCGTAGTCAATAAAAGTCAAGTAAGCATCTTTCTGTTGTGAGAAATCAGGAAAGGTGTGTGATAGGGTTGAGTCCTCTCCCCATGCTTAGCCAATCTGTATGCTGAGCAAATAATCACAGAAGCTTGCTTATTTGAAAAATGTGGCATCAGGATCGGAAGGCTTATTAACAACCTGCGATATGCAGATGATACAACCATGCTTTCTGAGTGTGAGGAGGACTTGAAGCACTTGCTGATGAAGACCAAGGATTGCAGCCTTCAGTATAGATTGCAACTCAATGTAAAGAAAACCAAAATCCTCATATCTGGGCCTTATGGAGAAAGGATTGAAATTGTCAAAGATTCTGTGTTGCTTGGATTCACAATAAATATTCCTGGAAATAACAGTCAAGAGATGAAAAGACACATTGCATTAAGTCAATCTGCTACACAATACCTGTTCAGAGTAAGGTCTGGCCCAATCCATGGTCTTTTCTATTGCCTCATATGCACAAGTTGGACATTGACTAAAGAGGACCAGTAAAGAATCCATGCATTTGAATTGCTGGAGGAGAATATTGAAAATACCATGGAACAAATCTGCCTTGGAAGACGTACAGCCAGAGTGATTCTTAAAAGCAAGGATGGTAAGACTTCAACTTACGTACTCTGGACACAGTGTCAGGAGAGACCAGTCCCTGGAGAAGGACATCATGCTCAATAAAGCGGAGGGGCAGGGAAAAGAGGAAGGGCCTCAAGGAGATGGATGGACACTGTGGCTGCAACAACGGGCTCAAGCAGAGGAACAATTGTGAGGCTGGCACAGGGTTCCTGCAGGACTGGGCAGTGTTTCGTTCTGTTGTGCATAAGTTCACCGTGGGTCAGAACAGACTCGATGGTACCTAAGCACAACAGAATGTTTGGGCAGTATCCTTGTTAAGACTGGCTTTACAATCTAGAAACAAACAATTCCACTTGAATGCGTTTCATAGATATCGCCCCTCCATTTCTGTCGCTCGTTCCTCCCCAGGACGTTCCCATCTGCAGTTTCCTTTGCCGGGAACCCTTCTTTCCCAGATCTTACCTGACTGGCATCTTTTGTTGTTCAGGTGCCCATCTAAGGGCCACTCCCTGACCCTCCTAGCCTACAGCTGCTCTCTTCCCTCTTTTCTATCCATCCTTTCCTTCAAAGCCCTGAGATTTTTCTGAAATACCCTCCTTCTAGAATTGTTATCGTAAGCATTACTATCGTGATTATTATCTTCGTAACAAAGAAAACCCATGTGGTTTTTCCATCCCTTGTGCCTTACAGGGATCATTCTGTTTAACATAAAGTTTTAATACTAACAGCTAACTTTTATTGAGTACTTACTACAGCCAAATGCTGCCTAAGCACTTCACTACATTGGTCTAAGCTAATGGCACCTCAGGACGACGACAATGGCTTCCTCACTGGTCCCCCACTTCCTGTTCTAGCCTTCCAGCAGTCTGTTGCCCAGAGAGCAGCCAGTGGTGGCTCTAAAGTGCATCAGTGATGTTTCCAGCCAGACTCATAACCTAACAGTGGCTCGCAAGGTCCCCGGCGGCCTCTCTGGCCTCATTTCTAGCCACTCTCTATTCCTCCATCCCTTGTGGCTACAGGATCTATGGCTTCATTTCTCACTTCATTCAGATCTCTACCGAAGTGCCCCTAACCAACCCATATAAAAAACCCTGCCAAACCAAACCCACTGTCAGGGACTCAATTTCGATTCATGGCGACCAAATCAGACAGAGTAGAACTTCCCCTCGGGGTTCTTGAAGCTGTACATCTTTCTGGAAGAAGACAGCCTCATCTTTCTTCCATGGAGCGGCTGGTGGGTTCAAACCACTGACCTTTAGGTTAGCTGCCCAACCCTGAACCCGCTCTGCTCCTTCCCCATCAAAGAGAGCACTCTAATTACTCTCTATGTCCTTATCATGCTTTGTTTTTCTGTGCCTACCTGTACCCAATCTTATAATACTCAGTTTCCTTCATTCAACAAATATTTTTAGAATGTTGGCTAAGTCTTAGCCCCTGTTCTAAGCACTGGGTATAAGAAGTCAATATCTCTGTCGATGTGACAGTGGTCCAGGTGGAAGGAGACACAGGTGTACGAGTAACTAATTAGTAATAGGACTCAATAAATCACTAAAATATAGGCTGTGTCAAATGGCAGTGGAAAATAAGACAAAAGGCTAGAAAGTCACAGGGGAGGAGGAGGAGGGTTAGGGTTAAAATAGGGCAACCAGGGAGGCCTCAGGGAGAAAGAGGACATTTGTGCAAATCCCTGGAGGAGAGGAAGGAAGCTGTGCCCAGAGTGTGCTGGGCAGAGGGAGCACCACGTGCAGACTCTAGAGCGGAGCATTTCTGGCCTGTTCAAGGAGCACCATGGGAGCCCCTGTGAGGACACAGGGGGAGAAGGGCAGAGGTCACGGGCACTCTGACTTTCCATTTGGGTGATTTTGCGCAGAGGAGCAACTTGAGCTGACGTCCTTTTTAGAGAGATTCCTCTGGCCACTGTGTGAACATAGATTTCAGGTTGAATTAGGGAGGCCAGCTAACCCAGGAAAGCCAGGATCAGAGCAAGGTGGGACAAGGACCATGGTGTGAACCTCCTCTGATCTAAAGAAACTGTGCCTTGGTGTCCCCCCCTTTCCAGTCCTCACACATCTAGAGAACACGTAAAGCAAACGCTGCTCTGCTGGTACGTAGGTTTTAATCCCAGAGCTGGCTGGTCTTTCTTTTCTCAGGAAAGGGAATCTCGCAGAAAGTACACCCGTCCTTGCTTAGACAGCTTCCTATAGCGTCCACGAAGTTGTTTTGCAGAATGCCCGACCTGCGGCTGTATTTCTCACACGCTCATGCTGACCATCTTCGCTTTCCCACAAATCGCCATGATCCGCCTTTCCCTTGTAGGATTATGCCCACCTGCTGACCTGTGTCACAGAAAGAGAGAAGTTCATCGTGCCAATCAAAGCGGTTGGGGCCCGAGCCATCTTGGATTTCCCCGACAAGCTGAATTTTTCCACTTGCCCTGTCAAATACAGCACCCAGAAGGTCCTGCTGGTACGAAACATTGGCAACAAAGAGGCAATCTTTCACCTCGAAACGAGAAGGTATGCACTCCTCCGGCTCTTGTTTTTGATTGGTTAAAGTGGGGTACTGCTAGCACAGGTAATTTGCTAGAACATCAGGTGGGGTGGAACTGCTAGCTGTCCTGTTTATCTGCAAGGCTGTGAGACCTCATTGACATAAGACAGACTGAGCATTCTCCATCCCAAGAGGAAACCAAAACCCAGTGATGAAGATCTCATTACCCGTTTCTAATGTTCCTATCCCACCTGACTGGGTAATGGAAGACCCTTGGCAAGGCAGAGTGGACACAGTGCCTGCAACAGCGGGCTCAAAACTTGGTAACAATTGTGAGGAAGGTGCAGGACCAGACAAGTTTCACCCTATTGTGTACAGGGGAGCTGTGATTTGGAACGGAACTGATGGCACTTAACAAGAACACCTGAGTGGGTACAGATGCTTTTTTGAAGTGCTTGATGGAAGTTTTATTTAGCATAAAGACTGGTCCATGGGAATCTATTAATAAGCTTCATTGTTTTGACCAAGAATTTTATCAGCGGCTGCATTGGCTTACTGTTGCTGCTGTAACAAACTGCTGCATATTTAAACAAACAAACAAACAAAACAACATCCACTGCAATCAAGTCAATTCCCGCTCATAACAACCCCATAGGACAGAGTAGAACTGGATTTCCAAGACGACCACATCTTCTCTTTCTCCCATAGAACAGCGGGTGCGTTCAAACCCCTGGCCATTCAGTGAACAGCTGTGCCCTCAACCACTGCACCACTAGGGCTCCTTGCCATACACTTTGTGGCTTCAAGCAACACTAATATATTATCTTATAGTTCAGTAGGTTCAAAATCTCACCGGGCTCAGGTAGCTTGAGGGGAGAATGTTTGCTCGCCATTTCCAGGTTCTAGAAGCTTGGCTCTCAGTCCCTGCCTGTCTTCTAAGACAGCAACGGTGGGTGTAGGCTTTCACACATCACATCACTCTGACCTCTTCTTCTCTCCTTCTACTTCAAAAGAGAATTATACCAATACTTTTATAGCAATACTCTTTGATTTACATTCATCTTATCAGAGCCTCTTTGAATTCTGTACTATTACAGAAGATGAAACCAAGTCCCCCAAAGGTCAAATAATGCCTCATAGCCCTGAACTGATAGGTGAGGCCTTGCACTCCATTCAATGTGACCTCACTTTTATCCACAAAGCTAAACTGCTTTTCTATTGTTTTGCAGTTATTTTAATGCTTTTATTATTAAACATTGTGCCCTTGCTTGGCATGAGCTGTAGTTTTTACCTGCCATGCTCAATGCCAGTGAAGAGTGAGTGGAAGGCAGGCTAGTGTACATGATACTCTGGTTTTGGACAAATATTCTGAGCACTATTTTTTACATTGGTGGTGATAACAGAATCATTTTTATAAATGCATGGCAATGAAACGCTAACATGTAATAGGTATACTAGTAACGAATTAGAAAGATAACTCTGTTGTTATTTCCCAAATACGAAGAGGTTGGTTTCTAAATGCTTTATAGAAGTGCCAAATTGTCGCATTTCACAGGAGGACACCTTAAAGCAGTAGTGACAACAGCAGCAGCAGTGACATTTATTGGGTGCTACTATTGACAAGCAGGACACAAATATTTTTATATGTAACCTTTCATTTAATCCCTGCAGTTACTCACTGAGGTAAGCATTCATTTTATTTAATATTTTTAATGACTTGATTACAGATGAAGAAAGAGGCTCAGAGAGTAACTTGCCCTTGAGGATGCAGCTGAAATGCTAGGAAGGTAAAATTGGAACCCAGGCCTGCTCAGCTCCAGACCTCTTTCATCCCCACACTGCACTCCCCACCTTACACTGCCTGTGTGTGTGTGTGTGTGTGTGTGTGTGTGTGTGTGTGTGTGTACACACACGTGCGCGCACCCACAGGAGTGTGTGTGGGTGGGGCATGCGCTCCCAATAGTCATTAACTCACCTCTTATTATCCCTCCTTTTGACTTCTCTCACTGTTGGCTTGATAGATCTTTTCTGCTGTCGCCCCAGATCTTCTCTTGGGAAATGCATCACCGAACATCTAGGCCCGGTCAGCACATTGGCGGTTCAGTGAGCCATTTCTCTTCAGGTTGCTTTTGTCACGGTGACAAACGCCTTCTATGCTGCAGTGAAAGAAACAATGGCACGCAGCCTCGCCTCCTTTGCCCTTCCATCTCTTGGGCTGGTGCTCAGTATTGCAGATGGCACTGCTTGAGGGAAGAATGAAGGGATAAGAGGTCACCCAGAGTCAGGGAAATTACCTTTGGGTTTTCTTCATTGGGGAATAGTTCAACCGACCTCCAGCACCACCGGGCCTCTCCAGGATAAGACATCGCCTGTGAGTCTCTGAATGGAGTGTGGACTTACCTTCATTGGCCAATGTCTACTGGAATGCTTGCTGGTCAGCATGCTCTGGGCTGAGGGCATGTGGCTTTGGGGAAATAGAAGTGTGTGGGCTGAGAGCAGCCCAAGATGACTATCACCCCACTTTCCTCCCCCTTTTGATCCCTCTTTCTTATAAGGGAAGGAGGCAGGGGGGTGTTATTAAAAAAGGACAGGCTAGAAGGTAGAGTGGGAGATGTCAGATAAACAAGCGGGTACCTTTGGGATGACCTGTACAAACTGGGGCAAATATACGTGTACGAATGATAATAGCTGCATTGCAGTGACACAAATTGCCTTCAGACCCATTCCTTGACCCTCTCCTCCCCTGCTCAGCGTCACTATGGGGCTTGAGTCTGTGGCCGCCACCTTCTGGCTGGGATTGACCAGCCAGGGGAACCAGGATGATATTGGAGGATGGGAACAAGCCAAAACTTTTCTCTGTCTTCGGGGAGTCCCCAACAGTAGCTACATCCTCTCCATCCTTCTAGCTCTGCTAGACAGAATAGACCAGCGGTCCCTACAGCCAGGGGACTGAGTCCCCTAAGATCTGGTAATCCTTCCCCCTCTCCTGGTGCCTTCATTCCAGGGTGGAAATGACCGACTCGTGCTGTTTATCCCTTGACGATCTCCCCATCTCACATTGGTTTCTCATCCCTCTCATCTTCTGAGTACCCAGTTCTTTTGATTACATTATCTGTGTGGTGAACGTTTTTCTTGTCCTCATTAGAGGCTGCCTGGTACAGTGGGCCTATGTTCTTTCCTTCAAATGCACCTTTGCCCTCAAGTCTGTTTGTTCTTTCTCTGAAGTTGCTGAGCGTTTCTTAAAAACAGACTCTGGAAGAACATTAATTTACATCCCCTATGTATTTATTTCATAAAACTTGGTTGAACTTTTTGCAGGCATTAGGGATTGTAAAAATGTGTGTGTGTGTGTGTGTGTGTGTGTGTGTGTGTGTGTGTGTGTGTTGGGGGTGAGGTAGCATCTAAAGCCCTGACTTCATAAAGAAGAGGGAGAATCAGACTCCACATCAGCCCAAGGCTGATTCTAGGAAACTGAGGTCAGACATGCCTCCGCCTTCCAACATTCCCTATCAATTCTGACAACAACCATTCCCTTCCACAGCAGTCTCCACTCCACAGAGCGGTCTCATTACGATGGCCACACACAGCTCAACCATACTCGGGATTATGGTCTCTATGAGGGACGTTAACAGGTTATCCTTCAGGATCAGAAGGGTTTCTTCCACACACAGGTCTTCCACAGGACAGCCTTTTCTCGCTGGTGCCCACAGGCATGTCTTACTCTGGTCCCCCCTCCCCCCCCCTGCTCTGCTGAACTCAGGCAATGTTACAAAGCTCTTTTTGTGCTACTGAAAAGCAAGCTGCCCACCCCAAAGCATGCAGCTTTACTTTCTCTGTGGGCCAAGAAGCCCACCACTCTGACCCCTGTGCTGGCTTTTGGTTTTGCTGCTGCCACTCCACCACCTCTCTCCTACCTTCTCTAGGGTGACCGTTGTCTACGCCTTAATCAAAGAGCTTCCGTGCACAGGGATCTCGAGGTCCAGAGGATGCATTCCAGTTCTGGCTTTTCTTTCTTGATGGTAGTGACAGCCCCTCGTTGGCAACATCGACCAATCCCCGCATCAGAGTTACAGCTTTTTACAATCACAAATAAACTCATTAACAATCACTCACAATGGAACCATATAATCTGTCAGCATCTTCTCCAGCCTTCTCTCACCCACACCCATCAGGAGAAGCCCCCTGGTGGCAGTTACAAAGACTGTGTGGAGCAGAGACAACAAATATTTCTCTTTTTTTAACATTTTATTAGGGGCTCATACAACTGTTATCCCAATCAATACACACATCAATTGTGTAAAGCGCATTTGGACAACAAATATTTCACTGCACCACCGGGATACGGTGCTGTTAGGTGCTGTTGAGGCAGTCCCAACTCATAGTGGTCCCATGTGGATAAAGTGCCCCATAGGGGTTTTCTGGTTGCGTACTCTGAATACAAATCACCAGGTCTTTCCCCAGGAACAGCTGGGTGGTTTAGAACTACCAAACTCTTGGTCAGTAGCCAAGCACATGCTTAACTGTTGTCCTGCCAGGTACATGATGCAAAGTTTCCATCCTTGTGGCATTTACATTTCTAGTGGAGGAAGATTATGTTAGACAGGGTTCTCTAGAGAAACAAAACCAAGACACATATATATATGTGTGTGTGTGTGTATATATATATATATATAACATGAGAAATAAACAGTTAATTAATCTATAAAGCAGTACAAATGGCTCAGTGCAACTCACTTCCATGAGACAGCTAATACACTGACAGTCCTTCAAGTCTTGAGGGCCGCCGGTTAGTCCTCTGTAGAACAATTCAGGCTATCCGGTCACAGGCAGCAAACATAAGGTGACCAGACGTCCTGCTTTTGGCGGGACAGTCCCGATTTTTAACAATTTTTCCCTGCATCCCGTGGTGTTTTTAAAAAGTCCCGATTTTTGGAAAGAATGCTCGACAAGCTAGGGTATATGGTTTTCGGCTGCCATGTGGCTATTTTGCCAGGATATGAGTTTAATCAATGGTGTCCCACTTTAC